CGTAAATACGAAGCCAGTTTAACTAGCTGTGTAAACCTCTGAGGTTTCAATCACAAAATAGTACAGGAGTTCTCTTCAATCATAGAGAATAATAAAAAACAAATGTGCATTGTGAAGCCAAATTGCTTAACTTTATATCTTCTTCAGCTTGGTGCGTTCATCTCCTATAATTTAATATTCTTAAATAATTATTTCCCTAGAAAATATCCTTTGAGTTGCAAAATGCCTCGTTCCTGAACTTCAGTTGCATTTAAGACCTCAAACTTACTGTTGCTAAGATCTCGGAGGCAAGAAAAAAGGATTCAGTGCTGGGGAGAAAAAAAATTATGAACTCTACAATACAAATAAGCCAATTCCAGTATTTTGCAAATTCCTAGAGATTTCTACTTTCTACTTAGTTGGTCCAGCACTTTACTGTGCAGATAACTGGTAAAACCAACTAAATAGTATATGGGAAGTGGGGTGCAGAGTTTAAAACTCAGCCTTCTCTGCAATGGCCAAAATTGACTTAAGTTAATTCACGTTGATACAAAACACTCAGCGTTGGCTTTGTAACAACAAAAAGAAAACAAAGTGCCATACACTGCTTTACCACAGGTTGGGTTATACTGACTGTGTAATACACTTTTCCACTGGTGGAAAAAAAATGCTCTTGCACCAAGGATCGGCCTCCTCTGGAGCTCTGTGTTGAAGGTATCACTCAAGGTGCCTCTGCTTGGTGAAAGGCACCTAGAAAACTGACAGAAACACCACCATTGTTGCTTTTTTGACATTCTTAATATTCATCTGTCTGTAAAGTTGGGCTGTGCTATGGGATGTGTCATGGGATGGCCAGTGCTCACTAAATGACAGTTTTGTATTTTCCCCTCTTTGTCTGGTGTGCATGGCACTGTATCTCAGTCCTCAGGCCTGTATCTCCTGAATATGGTATAATTCCTTTCCTGGTGGGCTCTTCACTACTGTCTGAATGTTCGCCAAGCACAACACAGCTGTTTCCCCAGCCCCTGCAGCGGGACGGGGTGGAAGGGCGAACTACGTGACCTCTTGCAGTCCCTCCCGGGTGTGTTTTCTATGACGAGTTACTATTCCAGTTTTGCAGAAGCAATATCAAAGTGTAAGCAGCGTAAAAGGCAAAATGGCCCAGTTAGCTCACAAGCCCAGCCTGAGATGCCGGTGGTCTGCATTTTTGGAGTAAATATTGTCTGCATGGGACTTTGTTGATGGCCAGGTGACACTGGCTTCAGCCCTGTGACCCAGGGACCACGGTGCCAGGTGGGGACCCTGGAAAGTGGGCGCAATCGGTGGCCACCATGAACGACATGGTTTAACACCTTGCCCAGCCTCACGCAGGGAGAAAACCCAGCTCCCCAGGCAGCGTTTGCCTGCCTTAGCCCAGGGAAACTCTGCTTTTCCTGCGCTCCCTGCTGCACTCACTTCAGAGGACGACAGCCTCCTTCCCCACCCAGCCCCAGGACGCCGTCCCGCGCAGCACGGGCGCGCGGGGCCCTGCGGAGACGCACTAAGTGATAATGCAATCGAAGGCCGCGTCACGGTAAAGGTAACCTTAACTCTGGCAGTCCTAGTCGCTGAACGCTTGGCTTCACAGCCTTAATATCCTTTTAGCTTTTGTGGGTGGGAACGGTCATCTCCTGGGGGTCATGCAGAGAGCAAGATACCCGCAAGGAGCTCTGCCGTGCGGCTCCACGGCCTCCCCGAGCCGCCGAGCCACGGCGCAGACATCTAATTTGCTCTCCTCCTATGGGTTGTGCGTTGCCGGATAAAGAAAAAACCCAGGAGCATCTGTGGCACCATCAGCTGCCAAACCGGGGGCCTCGCTCACACCTCTGCTGGCGGACCCCCTTTCCTCCCGGCTGCGGGCGAAGCCCCACCGAAGTCACCAAGAACGAGCCTAAATCCTAACTTCATTACGAGGAACTGCTATTAGCGGGCCGACGCT